CTTGGGGTTGGGGGATTGGCATCTCCCCCCCCCCCCCCCTCCGATTTTGCCTCGGACTCGATCCCTGACAATGGTAATTCAAATAGGACCCGCCCCGGTGAGCGTGTTGCCAAGCGCCGCCGCTGCAAGGCCAGAGTCGGTTCCCAGCACCGCATCAACCAGACCGAGACCATCAAGTGGTTCAAGAACCGCTTCGACGGTATCGTCCGGTAAATGCCTTCTACAGAAGTCATCTGATTTCTCTCCCTTACGAAAGTCTTCAATGACGGGAGGAGGGAAAAGGAAGCAATTCTGAAGGGCTATGTGCTTTTATGACGGAACGGAACCGAACTTCGGGACCGAAAGAAGAAGAAAAAAAAATGGACAGAAAAAGAGGGCAGGCGTTTTTCTTTCCAACTTTTTTTTGTCGCTCTGCTCTGAAACTAATGTTTCTATCACGGCAATGAGGTTAGGCGTGTTAGAGATATGAAATTCCCCCCCAATTTTCCTCAAAAAGACACATCCCACTTTTTCTCTCAATGAAGGCTTTCACACAGGGTGAATGATTTTCCGCATAACCATTGATTGAAAAGTTTTCCTGGATGACACATGATGCCATTCATTTTCTTGGATGCTCATTGTCTTCTTGCTTCTGCATCCTCTGCACTATCAAGTCGATAACTGCGTGGTGTGTGTGTGTGCTTCTCGGCCTGTTGGCCTCGTCCATTCTGGAATTTCCTTGTTGGGCTCTTTCCAGATGGCGGGTCAGTCTTTTCCTCTCTTCTTCCTGTTGGGATCTCTTGCCTTGCTTTTGCTTGGCAATTCTTCCGAGGATTTGTCTTCTTTTCTGGATTGCTGCTGGAGGCACGGGCATTGTGGCCTGGTTCTATGCTTCCAGTCTGGCTGTAGACCGACCGTAGTTTTAGGATCGTAGCAGACGCGAACCGATCGGAGTTCGAACTCTAGACTTCATTACCCCAGACGGCACTAGTCCAAAAGCGCCTTGACCTTGATGCTTAATCTCATGCCCCGGTCGATCATACCGGCCTTGCATTCCTGGGGTCTAATGTCCCATGTTGATTCTCTTTCTTGTTGACCATCGGGGGGGGGGGGTAGTTGCTGGCCTGGAACCTGAGCTTTCAACACGCCTCCTGTCTGGGCGTTGGCCCAGACTGAATGACAGAAGCCATGAACCTCTAGAGTCCAACATTGATTTCATTGATTTCATGAGAAGACTATAACTGCGATGCATATTTGACACAATATTATGGCCCCAGCCCGTCAACATATCGTGCTCCCATACACGCAACGAGGACATTTGAGAAGTTTCTTTTTCTCTCGCCCCATGCTATCTCAGGTCATAAACAGAAAACAAACGTGACAACAGATACAGAAGATCAAGACTACTACCGAAAATATACCTCCCGTGGTTTACTTTCCCTGGTTAGAGCCCCGGGTGTATCCATCCCACCACCGGGCAAACATCCCACCTGTCTGGGCCTGCTCGGTATAGCTATCACGGCGTGATGCAAAGTTGGGGTCGGAGTTCCGCTTCTGGCTGGTCAGACCCTCGAACAAGGAGGAGTTTTGGCCACTGGAGCGTCTCCTGTCCGGGGCCCGAGGCGGACTGCTGGCCATGTTGTTGGAGTTGGAAGACATATCAGAGGAGTTCGAGCCCTGCTAGAAGTGTCAGTAGATGCGAGAGACACTGCAATGTGTTTGCTACATGAGATTTGCTGGTCTCTGGCTTTGCCCCTCCCAACGCTTGAATGACATATGACGAACACAACACAAAAGGCAAATGATACAGTTGGTCAGGAGGGCTTATGAGAACAGACGAAGACCTACGCGTCTATCGGTAGTCATCTCCGGTCCGGTCGCGGTGGTGTACACCGATCCGCCTGGCACCGAAGGACGGCGAAAGTAGGGCGAGGACGGACCACCGCGGACCCAGACGTTGAGATGCTCGTGACGGTTCCCGGGGTCTCCGTGCCAGTGGCGGGGAGACTGTGGCTGGTCGTTGCTCATGGTTTCAGTTGGAATGGGGTTTGAAGGGAAGATGGATGGGCGAAGATGCAGTGTCAACTGCTCACTTCGTGAGTTGAAGAATAGGAGCCATAAGATGGGGGAAGCATGGGGATGATGAGCATGAAACTGTAATGGTAGGTGCGACAGTGGTGTGCAGAAGGGTACAAACGCTGCTGTACAAAGGTACATGATACTTGCGCCCAGATTTAGATTCGACACGACAGTCTCGGCGTCATTCTGATGGCAGCAAAAACGAGATATCTCGAAGAAGTCAGATTGTGAAGTTAAATCCACTTACCAGAGGTTGACAATAATGGTAGAGCTTGGTTTGGAATCGGCTTTCGAGGAAACAGGACACTGAGTTCTTGAGAGAAAGTAAATCTACTCAGGCATATGGGACGACGGAGTAGGAGGTAATATACCTCTGGGGAGTCAAGAAGAGGGGTTCGGGACAATACTGTGAAACAGACCCCGGGAATGATGATGCATCAGAACCACAAGCTCATCCGCGAGGAGGGGGGCAAAAGCACGAGTCTAGGCCAAATGCGCCAACAGTGGAGGCGTTCAAAGAATGGGCAATGAATCATCATCCATCCATGGATGCTTCTCCAGTACCAGTGCCAGTGCCAGTGCCAGTGCCAGTGCCAGTCATAGTCACCGGACCGGGCTGACGTATGCGGAGATCGGGAAGAGGAGATAATCCAATGGAGGTTTTTCCATAGAGAGAGTGTCTGATTGTGGTAGTCAACCTGCAGCATGTCAAGCCGAGAATCCGGGGAAAGAGCCGGCCTTGCAGCCTCAGGCCAACGATGGTTGTCGGCGTCCAGATCATGAGCCGAAGCGGAATGGCTTCCTCTCCTTCTCCTCTTCTCCGCATCTTCTTATCATCGACATCCCAACCTCTGCCGACGGGGTTGCTTTCTGGTGCCAATCACCATTCCCCGCGCCTTACTGCCGCTCGGCTATCAACCGAAAGCAATCTAGTTTGTGAGTTATCTCCAACGTCTGTCCCTCGGTCAAGTTGTTGACTCCCCGTCCTTATATAGCCCCAAGCCGATCTACTCGGGTCGCATTGTTTACTTATACTATACACCACATCCCCACTGCTCCAGTCTTCTCCCCACCTCCTCACCAGCGCATTAAACCAAACCACAATCACCATGGAATATATCAAACACCCCTATCTCCAATCCCTAGGCCAGCACGGCTATATTGAAGGAGTCACTCTGCATGAGAAAACCACCAACAAACCCTACTGTCACTACTTCGGCGGGGTCCGCTACGCCCACCCGCCCCCGCAACGTTGGCGCAAGGCCCAGAAGCTGTCCACCTCCTACTCGTATGGCTCCAAAGATCAACCGGGCCCTGCGAACGGGCGTACAGGGATCTGCCCGCAGCCTCGCTTCCTGGACGTGGTCTCCGAGGACGGCTGGACGGAGGATTGTTTCCAGTGCAACATCTGGGTCCCTACGGGCAAGGCACCCGAGAATGGTATGTGATTTCTGTCTCCAACCCCAGAAACCATGAGATAGAACAAGCCAACTGCTGTCCCCACATTCCCCCGTGCGCCTTGCATATCATGAACCACACACTCAACTCAATGCTCAATATCAAACAGGCTGGCCAGTACTCTTCTTCATCCGTAAGTCGTCTTTTCTTTCTCCCCCGGTTGCTCGTCCATGATATTTAACAACTCTCTCTCAGACGGCGGATTCCTCCAATTCGGTGACCCTAACGCATTCTCCGCCGCCGCTCTCCTCGGAGAAGCCCAATTGAACGCCATCGTCGTTCTACCAGCCTACCGCCTGAATGTCTTCGGCTTCCTCTACTCCTCCGAGCTGGAGCAAGACGCCGCCTCCGTGAACGAGAGCGTCGGCAACCACGGCTTCTGGGATCAACGCCTGGCCCTAGAATGGACCCGAGATCACATTCGTCTGTTTGGGGGGAATCCCTCCGAGATCACCGTAGCAGGATACTCAGCAGGTACGCGCTCCGGTGCCAAAACACCTTCATTCCCCGAAATATCGCCATCCCCTCCCCCAACTTAATCTCCCAAACCCCCCGTGGCACAAGCTAACACCAAGAAAAAGGAGCCTACTCAACCTTCCACCAACTCTCGCACGACCTAACCCTGCCCCCTGACCAATGCATCATCAAACGCGTCTGCATCTGGTCCAACAGCCCCGTCGCGCAACCCAAACCCCCCACCACGGCCCAAGCCCAATTCACGCAGCTCCTTGACCAACTATCCATCCCCCTGACCCTACCCGCCGCCTCACGCCTCGAGCGCCTCCGCGCCGTCCCCGCCCCAACCCTCCTCCAAGCCGCCATGGCCCTCCCCAGCAACAACCAATTCCGGCCCACCACCGACGGCACGTTCATCCCCGCCAGTCTCTTCACCTCCCTCGACGACGGCACCTGGGCCCGCCGCCTCCGCGCCCGGAACATCCGCATCCTCTGCGGCGAGTGCCGCGACGAGCGCAACCTCTACGCGACGTGGTTCCCGCCGACCCAGAACTCGCTGCCCGCGCTGCGCGACCGCCTGTCCGCCGAGTACCCGCGGCCGCTGGTCGACACCCTCCTGCCGCTGTACTACCCGGACGGGGAGCTCCCGGAGGGCGTCCGGGATTGGCGCACTGATGCCTTTGGGCGCGTTTATGCGGATATGCAGGTGCACAAGATGCAGCGGGGGTTGGTGCATGCGTTGGCGGAGGCGGCGGCGGAGACAGCATCGACAACAGACAACCGGGTGTATCGGTACCGCGTCGAGTATCGGCTGAAATGCGCCGATAAGTCCCTCCCGCCCAGTTGGGGCGTCACCCACGCCACCGATCAGTATATCTGGTTCTGGGGCAACGGAGAGCGGGTCGAGGCCCTGGAGAAAACCGTGATCTGGGACGCGTTCATTGCACCCCTGAAGAAGTTCGTGCACGGGGAACCGGATCTCCAGTGGGGGACTGTGGGTCATAAGCAGCTGCGGACCCTGATGCCGGATGGCTCAGTCCAGATCAAGGAGGATGTCTTCTGGGATGAGGCCATGCGCGTCTGGAAGGCCTTGAGGGAGGTGGGGGAGCCAGACAGCGCTTCCGTCGCCAAGTTATAATCATGACTCTTGAGCCCATCCCAGTCACTGGCATCGAACTGTGTCTTATCTATGGTCACCTGGTTGACTAGCAGAGAACAACGATGCAACTATGGGTCTTGTCTACGACATACAACATTTGCGTATTCATGACTCGAAAATAACTCTACTTATTCATTTATATATGGCCGGTATTATGTTTGGAATGGCCAGACTTAAAATCAACAGAAACAAACCAACCCGGAAAGAAACGCTTGAACACAAACAAAACACCTCAAATTCTCACTGCCAGGCTGACAACAAGCGCGCATCGCGAGGAACATAAATCATAGATTCTTTTAACATCGTGCAAGGGTCTTCCTACATCAGGCTTTGACGATCTTGCAGATCAGGTCCTGACCATCGACAGAGTCACCTTCCTTGACCAGCAAGCTGGAGACCTTGCCACTGTGGGGCGCGGAGATAACCATTTCCTAGTAGATATTAGCATCGTGTCTCGTACAATAGATATCCGGTGATCAAGACATACCATCTTCATAGCGCTCAGGACGGCCAGAGGGTCACCCTTCTTGACCTCGAGTCCGTCATGAACACGGATCTCGACAACGACACCGCTCATAGGAGCACCGACCTGGCTGCTGTCGCCCAAGTCGGCCTTGGCACGGGCGGTGTTGTCGACGGACGCCTTCTTGTCGTCGACGCTGACCTGACGCACCTCACCGTTGACCTCGTAGAAGACCTCACGCTGACCGGTCTGCTCGGAAAGGGGACCAATAGCCAACAACTTAAGGATCAGGACCTTACCCTTCTCCAGCTCGACGTGGAACTCCTCGCCGATCTCGGGCTTGGCCAAGAAGTAGCGGGTGGGCAGAACGGACAGATCACCGTACTTTCCGACGAACTTCTTGTAGTCCTCAAAGACCTTAGGGTACATGGCATAGCTGGCAACATCGTACTCAGTGGCAGCACCGAACTGCTCGCGGATAGTGCCCTTGATCTTAGCCAGGTCCAAGGGCTCCAAGTAGAGGCCGGGGCGCTTCTCGAGCTTGCGACGGTCACGCAGGGCCCGCGAGCGCAGAGGCTCGGGGAACCCGCCGTACGGCTGACCCATCAAACCCTCCAGGAACTCGAGGACGGAGGCTGGGAAGTCGAGCTCACCCGCACGCACCACAACATCCTCAGCGCTCAGCTTGTTGGAGACCATGAACTGAGCCAGATCACCGACAACCTTGGAAGTAGGAGTGACCTTGACAATGTCACCCAGCAGGTCGTTGGCAGACTCGTAAGCCTTCTTGGTTTCGGCCCACTGCTGGCCCAAGCCGAGCTGACTGGCCTGGAAGATAAGGTTGGTCAACTGACCACCGGGGATTTCGTGCTCGTAGACCTCGGGGTCGGGACCGGTCAGACCAGCCTCGAAGGGCGAGTACAGGAGACGCAGCTGCGCCCAGTAGGTGTCGAGCGCGCGGACCTGGTTCAGGTTGAGACCAGTGTCGTACTCGGTGCCCTCCAGGGAGGCGAGCAGAGCGCCAATACTGGGCTGCGAGGTCATACCCGACAAGCTGTCGGTGGCCGCATCAACGGCATCAGCGCCAGCCTGGGCGCAAGCAATCATCGAGGCCACACCAGTACCGGCGGAGTCGTGGGTGTGGACGTGGATGGGAAGGTCGGGGTAGCGCTCACGGATGGAGCCAATCAGGAGACGAGCGGCCTGGGGCTTCAGCACACCAGCCATATCCTTGATACCCAGGACGTGGGGCTCGAACTTCACCACCTTGTCCACGAGGCTCAGGTAGTATTCAAGGTTGTACTTCTTGTGGGGGTTCAACATGTCACCACTGTAGCAGATAGTAGCCTCGACGACACCCTCCGCGGCGTGGACAGCCTTGATACCGACCTCAAGCTGGTCGACATCGTTGAGAGCATCGAAGACACGGAAGATATCCACACCGCACTTCTTGGCTTGCTTACAGAAGTGGTAGATGGCATTGTCGGGAAGAGAGGAGTAAGCGACCCCGTTGGCACCACGCAGCAACATCTGGAAGGGGATGTTGGGCACGGCCTTGCGGAGCTTGCGCAGACGGTCCCAAGGGTCCTCGTAGAGGAAGCGCATGGCCACATCGAAGGTGGCACCACCCCAGCATTCCAGACTGTAAGCGTTGGAGAGGGCGTGGCTGGTCTCGTGGGCAATGTTGAGCAAATCGATGGTACGCACACGGGTTGCCAGCAGAGACTGGTGGGCGTCACGCCAGGTGGTGTCCATGATCAAAGTGCCCTTGTTGGCACGCACGGCACGGGCCCAGGCCTTAGGGCCCTCACGGTCCAGGATCTGCTTCCAGCCCTGAGTGGCGGGAGCAGAGACATCCAGAGGCTTGCCCTGAGGGTCATACAAAGTGGGCTTGATGATATCGCCCTTGAGCTTGGGCTCGCCGATCTGGCCCTTGATACTGCTGCCGTTGACAGCCACGTCACCGAGGTAAGCCAACAGCTTTTGAGCACGGTTCTGACTGCCGACCAGAGCGAACAACTCGGGGGTGTCGTCAATGAAGGTAGTCCAGCAAGTGCCGTCCACGAAAGTGGGGTGGCTCAGGAGGGAGGTCAAGAAAGGAATGTTGGTCTTGACACCACGAATACGGAACTCGACCAGGGCACGGACGACCTTGCGGCGGGCGATTTCGTAGGTGGAGCCACGGCAGGTACACTTGACCAGCATAGAATCGTAGTGAGGAGTGATAATGGCTCCAGCAAAACCGTTACCACCATCGAGACGGACGCCGTTACCACCAGCGGAACGGTAGACCTCGATTTTACCGGTGTCGGGGGAGAAGCCCTTGGAGGGATCTTCAGTGGTGATACGGCACTGGATGGCGAAACCGCGAGTGGAGATCTTGTCCTGAGTCAGGCCCAACTGCTGCAGGGTAGCACCGGCAGCAATCTGGATCTGAGCCGCCACGATATCAATGCCCGTGATCTCTTCAGTGATAGTGTGCTCGACCTGGATACGGGGGTTGATCTCGATGAAGTAGTAGCGGTTCTGTTGGTCGACCAGGAACTCGGCAGTACCGGCGTTGCGGTAGTTGACGGACTTGGCCAGCTTGACGGCATCGGCCAGGATGTTGTCGCGGACGTCCTGGGGCAGATCCTTGGCGGGGGCGATTTCAACGACCTTCTGGTGACGACGCTGAACGGAGCAGTCCCGCTCGAACAGGTGGATGACGTTTCCGTGGTTGTCACCCAGCAACTGCACCTCAATGTGCTTAGGCTTGTCCAGGAAGCGCTCGACGAAGACGGTGCCGTTACCGAAGGCCGAGCGGGCCTCGGAAGTGGCACGCTCGAAGGCATCCCGCAATTCGGCTTGGTCGCGGACGACACGCATACCACGACCACCACCACCGAAGGCAGCCTTGATGATGATGGGGAAGCCATAGGTATCGGTGAATTCCTTGACCTCTTCGTAGCGCTCGACGGGGCCGGGAGTACCGGGGACGACGGGCACTTCGCAGCGGATAGCCAGCTGACGGGCGGAGACCTTGTCACCCAAAGCCTCAATGGTCTGCGGGGTAGGGCCAACGAAGACCATGCCGGCCTCCTCGACCTTGCGAGCAAACTCGGCATTCTCGGACAGGAAACCATAACCAGGGTGGATGAGGTGAACGCCGTGCTCCAGAGCAATCTTGACGATCTCATCGATGGCGAGGTAGGCACCGACGGGGGTATATTGACCACGGTGACCGATCATGTAAGCCTCATCGGCCTTCTGACGGTGCATGGAAAGACGATCCTCGTGAGAGTAGATAGCGACCGTCTGCAGAGAGAGTTCGTGGGCGGTACGGAAAATACGGATGGGAATTTCACCACGGTTGGCGACCAGGATCTTCTGGAACTGCATGATGGCCGAGTTGGCGCGCAGACGGGTGTGGACGGAATCCCGGTGGTGGTCATGGTGGTCGTCGATGAACTCAGTGTCATCGATTGCCTCCTCGGGCTGACGTTGAGGAGCAGCCATGATGGAAATGTGTGATTATGTGTAGAGGATTTGGATAAGAAAGAAGAAGGAAGAGAAGAAGAGGGGGGAGGAGAGGAGGAAGGAGAGCTTGGGGGAGGGGGGGAGGGGGGGAAAAGCTGCGGCGACGGAAAGTGGGTAGGTAGATAAGAGGATTATGACGTTGTGGGGAGGGAGAGAAGTAGACTGGGAAGAAGCTCTGGATGAACCACGACAGGGCTGGCTGCAGAGACTATAAAAAAAACATAAGAATTGAAACAGTTAGCCGACAAACCAATGATAGCCGGAAAAATAGCAATAGTGAGTCACTTTTAGGAGAAACAGTCTCCGGGGGAAGTTAGAGGGTAAAGAAAAAGGCCCGGTTTCGGAACGGTAGAGCGAGAACAACACGCGGGGAAAGTCGAGAGGGAATGTTGTGGTGTCTGGTCCGAGGAAGCACTTACCCGAGGAGGAGTGGAAGAAGATTTAGGAATGACCCCGGAACGTGTTTGATTGTGAAATGAATTGAAAAGTAGAAGAAGAAGAAGAAGAAGAAGAAGAAGAAATGCAGAAGTTGAAGAGGAAGAGCGAAGAATTAAGAAGTCGAAGCAGATAAAAAGAAAGGAGGATGTGCTGCAATAGGAAGGCCCTGGGCGGGAAGGCGGAGAGAGCAGCCAATTTTACCATGGACAGTCCAATTCCGGGGTTGAATCTATCGATGATAGCAGATGATATCCCCAGTCCATCCCAGTCCATCCTCACCGGTACACCGGACTGCAGCTTGAGGGATGGTCCCCTCTCCCATTCCCAGACCTACTTGCCTACTTTTCCTCTCAATTCACCCTCCGTTCGTCCGGTGAATTCATTGGTTATTGGAATTATGACTATTGAATTAACGTACTTGGCCTCCCAAGACAAATGATAAGCAGATTTGCCCCCCCCTCCTCCCTCCCCACCAAGAGAGATCACCAGACATCCGCCACCCTCATACTAGGACTGTGTACAGTACAAGCACAATAAAAACACCACCATCTGCTGCCCTCCTCTCCATACACAAAACCCCAGATTTGCATCAGAGCTGGGGGGTGCATAGACCACCTCTCTCGGGTGAATTAGGACGACCGTCCACAGCAATGGCGAACCTCGGGTGCTCGGGTTAATTGTTTCCCTCTTGCAGCATGAAGTTGGTGAATAGGCCTCGGAGGGGGGGCAGTGAGATCATCCCCATCAACCATGATCCATTATTCTGGAGCTCTCCATCCGTGAATAGGCGAGAGCGCAGTGCAGTACAGCGCAGCGCAGTGCAGTGCCGCGCAGATCGTCCCGCGCATGCCCGCTCGGCCCAGCCTCTCCCAGTCTCGCTCCTCCCTTCCTCCCTCCCTCCCTCCCTGGGCCCCTCTAGACTTTCTCCTCCCGCCTCGAACTCTTCCCCACCACCCTGAACCATCACATCGCCGAACAAACAACGAGAGGGCATCCGCACTAATCCCGAGGAATCACAATCCGGCAACCTGCCAAGTGTCAAGTGATGAGCACCACTTGGTCGATCCAGACATACGCCGAGAACAATGAAACAACAAAAACAAAATTCTCCTTGGCTCTAGACTTTATTGCTCCGGTGATAACAACCACCTACTGTACAGTACAATGATGCATTTCATCTCCTAACCATCTCCTCCGTATGATCCGATCCCCTCAGCCTGCACCATCCACACATGTCCGAACAGCACAGAATAGGAAAAAAAAAGAAAAAAACAAATTATTCCCCCAATAACACTTCACCGATTGTTCAGAAGAAGCTGTAACCCGACCATCGTCGTCCGTTCGACTGGCACTATGTACTTCCCGGAACGTCCACCGGGTCCCCCCATCTCCGGCTTTGTGCCACCGGGACAAGAATGCTTTCTGTCTGCCTCCTCCCTTCACCGAAGGACGGAGTTGTAGCCGGTCAGGTCAGGTCAGCCTTCTTGGCGCGATTGAGCAATTCCAGGCCCCTGGGTATGGTTTCCATGGGACTGAAAAAGTCATGCAACCTGTAGCCGGATCTACTACGGAGTAGAAATACAGGAGAAGTGACCAAGTATCTCCGGACCTCTCTGTCCCGAACTACTACTACTACTACTACTACTACTACTACTACTACTACTAGCCCTAAGTAAAATCCACACCCAACCCGCCCCGCGCTCTTCTCCTACTCTCTACAGGTCTTCAGGTCCGATCGGATCGGCTTCCATGAGTAACAATCGCAACAGTCTCAGGGAATGACGACTCAAGAGCAAATTTCCCTCCGTCCGTAAACTCCCAGGATAAATCCTTACACTCCTCACCAAACAAATGTTGATAACCTGGTCGTAACTACGTACTGTCCCACTTCCCCCCACCACAGTCCAGTTTCGCGGGGGGCTAAATCCTTTACCTGCACGCCGCAAAGCCTGGCACCACCAGCTCCCTCCGGGCCTGGTTGGTCCCTTTTCGCCGAACATGTAGTCTATTAACTAGGAGTATGCGCATACTGCGTACTCTACTCCGTACACCACCCTGCGCCGCCGCTTACGACGTACTCCTGTGTCAAATCCTCTAGCGGAACAAGATACCGAGCCTGACCCCCCTCCCCCGGCCCTTCAGCTGCGGCTGCATCTGCCGAGATCGTCGATCCCCTCTCTTGGAAGTTGGACCGATAGTTCATCACCACTATCGACGGCTGTCTTACCCGCTGTCTAAGTCACGAGGCAGCCAGCCTCCTGTTCCGGTGATTGACTACGGAGGAGTACCACTACCTACATACCACCACTAGTATCCGACTGGACCGTACATATGCAAAATGCCATCCATCACCGTCATGAAGTCAATAATCCCATTGTACTAAGATATTTATGGGAATCCTCCCGGGTCCCACCCACGAATCCCAGGAGACAAGAGCCACCGATTTTAGAAGGCCAATTGAAATACATCAGGAGGAGAAGAAGGAAGAGGAGAAGAGGAAAAAAAGAACCACTCAATAAATGGAGAAATAGAACGAGAAGATCATCAAGTAACAGAAGGGGGGCTCCGAAACATCCGACCCAGAGAGAACAGCGAACTGAGTCCGGCCGCAAAGCGTCCCATCGCTCATGCTATACATACACTAACCCCTTCGAGACGCTGCACCAAGATCTGGGAAAGGAAGGCAGAAGGCATGACAAGTCGTACGGTTAGAAGGGCCGGAATCCGGTCGCCTGCGGCGTGATTCCATTGGCATACCCCATGGGCGCGGGTGCCGGCGCCGCCGGTCCCTGCGTTAACATCAACCGCGAGCCGCCCAAAATGGGTGTGTTGTCCTCTTCCACCTTCTGCGTCGTCTCCCGAGCCTTCCGCTCCTCGTTGTCCTTCTTTAGCATCTCGATCGCCCGCGTCTGCTCGCACAGGAAGTTGATCATGAACGGCATCGTGAAATCGTGCAGCCCGTGGCGCCACGACAGTTCCATGATCACATCCGGGCGGATAAGATCGTAGCAGGCATACAGCATACCAACGTAACACTCGCGGCTGCCAATATCCACAAACTAGAGTATCGGTTAATCACTGACTTCAATGTTTGTTGGAAAAGAATAGAGACTTACGTAGCGAAGGAGTTCTTCAACCACCTCCGACTTGCCGGAGATAGCGGCAGTCTCAATGGCATCCTTGTAGAGCTTGTCCTGCTTCGACAGTGCGATCGACTTCTCCCAGCGCTTGTTGTTGCGGTAGATGTTGGCGGCGATCTGGCGGAAGAAGATCAGGTCATGCTTCTCCAACCGTTGCGCGAGGGCCACCGCATCGAAGTTATCGTAGTTGTCCACGGAATCGCGGAGCGTCTTGTAGTCCTCCTCCTCAATCAGCAGGTCATTGATCGCATCGTTCACTGCCCGCTTGTTCTGGGTCTGGACGTTGAGCAGGAAGGGCTTGATGAGAGGGATGTTGTCTGAGGACTGGAAGATGCGCACGACACGGTTGACGTCGACGCGGGAGGTGAGGGACTGGAGCAAGTCGGTCAGCAGCAATGGCTGTTCCTGGAGATAGAAATTGAGGGCGCGGTAGTAGATCTCCAAGTTCGCAACCTTGACAATGATGTCCTTGAAAGAGTGGTGCTCCCAGGCGTCGGCAGCACGCTCCATCATAGCCAGGGCTGCGTTGTCCCATTCGTCGTAGTGGCAGTACAAGAAGACCAACTCAGGCCACAGACTCGCGTCTTCGCAGGCCCGGATCATCTTGGGGATGTTGATGCGAGACCAGAAGAGCTTGAGGTGCTCCATGACGCGGTCAGGGTGGTACTTGGACAGCGCAATGCCCAGCTCGGTGAACATGCCCATGTGAGCACGCTCCAGACCCAAGCCGGCTTCCAAAACCGCAATGAGCTCATCGAAGTATCCGTTACGCTCGTATTGACGAACAAGGTCCTGAAGCTCTTCTGCATGGACGATCAGGTTGAGACCACAAATCTGGGCGAGACGGAATTCCTTCTTGTTCACGCAAGCTTCGTTGACTTCCTTCCACACCTTGACGCTGTTCGCTTTGCGGGCGCACTCCACAGCCGCCTGGTAGTCTTCCAGATGAACCAGGGTGGTTGCCAGCTTAGCCCAGTTGGAAATGCTGGTGTAGAAGATCTTGGCGGCCTGGTGGTATCCTTCTTCGTAAGCCTTGTCACCAGAGGCTTCAATATCGGCCACGTTAGTGGTCCTCAGGAAGTCCTCCAGCTCGGCGAGCTGGTCAAGGCGGGCGTAGCAGAAAGCGAGACCGGTATCAATGGCAGGCTCACGCAGTGTCTTGCGGGCCATCTTCAAGAACTTGACGAGATCCTCATCCTTGCCAGCGTGGGTGGCGGTCTCGATAACCTCAAGGTAGTTAGAGGGATCACCAGCACGGATGTACGATTCAATGGAGTCAGAGATACGAAGACCATCGAGCTGCGCCTTGGCCACCTTGCTCCAGACCTCGGGCAACTCAACACGCTCAGCGAACTCTTGAGCACGGTCAATGCTGACGATGTTCTCGACCAGGACATTGACAGCGGCAAGGAAGTTGTTGACCTTCTTGTAGATCTCGAAAGCCTCCTCGTACAATCCAACTGAGATACACATCTCAGCGATCTCGTCGGGGCTGAACTCGTTGAGCTGGTGGATGTAATCCATCAAACGGCTCTTGTCGGCCTTAGCAGCAGTCAACATCAGCAGGTTCTGGAGGCTGCCATTGTCACTGAAAGGCGAGGGCTCAAGGATAATCTTCTCCAGAAGCTCAATCAGCTCACCGGGGAGATCAGCCTCAAGGAAGGCTTTAACGGCGACGGACACTTTGTCTGGCTCAGTCGACTCGGGCACGGCGGTGGCAATGACTTGATCGACCAAGGAACGACGGTGCTGATTGTTCTCGCTCAGGACAAACGACCAGATCTCGGGATCAGCCCGCTCAACAAGGTAGCGCGCCTGAGCACGGTACATGGCATTCTCGTTGGTGATGTTGATGAGCTCGAGATCGTTCTGTCCCTTGCGGTAGGCAATGTATGCAAGATTGGGATCCCGCTTCTCGCAGTACTTTCCAACGGTCAAAGTGTCATACATGTCGTTCTCCTTGAGGAACTTCTCGGGGTTGTTGTTGCTGTCGATGTAAATCTTGGCCAATGCGTTGTAGACGGCTTGCTGCTGGTTACCCGTCGCAAGCGTAGCCTCAAGGAAGGGCAGAAGCAACTTCAACCGGTTGCGGCTCTCCACCTCGGAAACAAGCTCATCGATGGGGATCACAGCCGGGTCAACAGTCGAGAGAAGGTTCTTGATGATGCTCTCATCACAGTCGACATCCAACAGACCACCAACGACAGCAGGCGCGCGCGAGGGGTTGACACGCTGAACGTAAACCTCGATAGACTTGTACTGCTGGTTCTGGTAGAGGTAAAGAACCAAGTCGTGGATGAAGTTGAACCGATCGCACACAATGATCAGCGGCAGCTGCTCGGTCAACTTGGCCTCCTTCAAGAAGTTCTTGACCTTGTCAGGGTTGTAGTAGTTGCTCTCGCGACAGATACGCTCCACTTCCGTGATTTGGTTCATAGCAGTGGCAGCTTCGATGTACTTGAAGTGCACCTCGGGATCTTCGCTAAGGTTAACAATACTGCCAAGGTAGTAGTAGAGACCCTCAGCGGTACGGTATTTCTCGAGCAAGGCAATCAAGCGAGAGGGGCCAAGGAGGTCGGAGAACTTGGTACAGATCTGGACAACGGCTTGCAGATTCTGGCGGATATTAACCTGCAACATGGTGTCCATGCAGTCGAGCGTCTGCTCAACGGACAACTTGCCGAAGTACTCCATCAACCACTCGGGGCTCAGTTTGTCGGTACGAACAATATTCCTCTTGATGGCCGCCGGGTCCTCGGTGTTCTCAAGAGCACGCTGGATGAGACCAGCATTCTCGCAAAGCTGGGAGATCCGAGGACGGTCGTAGTGCGTGAAAATTTCATTGCCAAGAATGGCATCGGCAACCTGGGGGGCGTTGACAAGGTTCATCTCGAGCAGACGAGTCTGAAGATGGCCATGCTCGGGCTTGTTATCCTTTAGGGCATCGAGAAGGAACGAAGTGGCTTGCTGGATCATGTTCTGGGACAGGAACACATCGACAACGCGGTCGAGATCGATGAGAGCTCCCGACTCCTCGTTGGCGAGCTGCGTGGCGAATTCGGCACCCTTTTCGGGGTTCACACGAACGATGTGCTGCAAAAGCTGGGTGTAATCCGGCTGGTAGCCAACCTGCTTCGAGTACGTGAGGATCTTGTCGAATTGGCCCGTCTCAGCAAACCCGGCAATGACCTTCTGGGATACATTGGCCTGGAGATAAATAGACAAGGCCAGGTTCATGTCGTAAGGACGGACAATATCACCAAGCTCTTCGGAGGCTTCCAACTTGTTTTCGCGCATCCACTTCTCAAGAAGGTGCTTCCTGTTCTGCTGCAAAACAGGGCGGACCAGTTCCACACTCTCGTACTTGTTCAGAGAGCCCTTGTCCAGCAGCATACCGAAGTATTGGAGGATGACAGACATCTGACCCGTCTGGGGAGCGTTCTTGAAGCGGTTTATGGTCTCCGGGGTCCGGAGGAAACCGCGTGGCGAGTTCGCAGCGATCTTGGCAGCCTCGGAGAAGTTTCCTTGGGCAATAAGGTTGTCAAACTGCTGCTGGTAGAGATGATCCGCTCCAGGAAGACCTGCCTTAGAAGCGAGCTTAACTGCGAGGCCGGACATGGCGGGGTTCTCCATCAGATACTGGATGATGTTGCTCTCATCGACACTGACGGACAAAACTTGGCCCTTGCGGTTAACACCGACCAGACCAGCAGAGTCGGAATCAGGGGCAGTGGTGAAGATTGTTTCGCTGGAAATGCGGTTCATGAAGATGCAAGTGCCGGTCTCAAGGTCGTAGAGGTGAATAAATCCGTATTTGGTGACCAGGTAGACGATGTCGTACTTCTTGGAGACCTGCATGGCGACAGGGAAGTCGTTGACAGCCTCCTGAGGGAAGTATACCTCCACTGCCTTCTTCTGAAACCGTGGGTTCGGCTCCTGGTGGTCGATCTCGGCGATCTGCAACTTGGCCCCGGTCGGCGTTCGGACGGCGAAGGTGAACAGCTTGTGCTCGAGCGGGGAGCCTTCGACCCGAATGGAAGCGAAGGCAGCAGCATGACCCTCGATGAACTGGGAGATTCCTCGCTCCTTGGAATAGAGCTGCATCGAGCCCACCACACGTCCCTGCTGCTGGCTGATTCCGACCACTACCATCCACTTCTCATCTTCGTTGACGCGGTAGTTGATGATTTGACATCCCTAGTCGCAATGCTATTAGCTCCGTTGGAAACCAATGTCACAAGCTCAGAGGGACCTACACTGAGGTTGGGAAGACGGTCAAAGATCTTCAGAGGTTGTGTCTGAGTCGGGTCAAAGACATCCCAGTGGTATACGGACTGTTCCGTGACCAGACCCAGGCACTTTTCGCTGAACCATTTCCAGTACACGATATCCTCATTCATCACCGACGACTTCAGCTTCTGCTTCGCCGCCAGATCAAAGATCTGGATCGTGCGACCCTGAGCCTTGAGGGCGATGATATTGCGGTCCCAGTGCATGATAGCACTGTCCGCGTTGATCGGCCGCTTGATGACCTCATTGTTGTTCTTCAGGTTGATGATAATGACCTGGGGCTTGTCGTCTTCATCGAGCTTTTGCCGGACACACACATAGTGGTCTGATTCTAGAGTCTGTCCAGGGAGGCCCAAGTATTAGCAAGCGACGGTACTGGTGCGATGGTGGGTTTGGTGGGACCAAGATGGAACGACTTACGCATGAGTTGAAACCAATAGACGCAGGCTAGATCCGGATATAAATTGAGTCAGTACGTAGGCAAGCAATGGCCGAAGCCAGGAACGGAGTGTCGGCGGGCGCGTTCGCAGATCGGACTGAAGGGTGGTTGCCCAACAAAGCAATAACACATACCGCAATTTCAGCCGTTGTCAACTGTCAGTCGGACAAATAGATTAGCTCATGTTTCTCGCGCAAGTCGGCTTGTGTCGGCCGAACACAGGAGGACTTACATTAAGGAGCTCCGTGAACTTGATCGGTAGAGGAGCCATATTTACCTAAGGCCGCAGCACGACCTCATCCACCCAACAGAACGCCACGCAAAGAAAATGACCGGATAGTGAAGGAAAGAAAGACGACAAGTGAGGAATTGGGGAGGAGAGGAGGAGACGTGAAGAATTAGAGGGAGGGAGGAAGGAGAGGTGCGAGTAAGTAGGGATTGGGAGGAGGGGGGAGGAGGAGAGGTAAACTGGGGAAGCGGAAAGTGACCTCAGGAGGCCGGCGCGGGTGTCGTTGCTGAGGTGTCGCTTATGGCGGCCGTCACGTGTTGTCACCCCAGGGGGGGCTGGAACAGCCCGTGCCTGATTGTAGATATCAGACTATCTCAATCTCACCAAGGCTGAGGTTCTGGACTTCTTGTTTCAACTTGAAGCAAGGCGCTCTGTGTATTCACTACTTCTTCATTTCCAGAGCCCTCATGTGGCACCCCCAATGGCTCAATCTATTCCGGTTGTCTGCCGTTTAAGAGTGTGGTGAGAAAAGTAACTCGATGGCTTTACTCTCTCAAACAACAAGATTATATGTCAATTAAGAGTAAAGCCAGGTGGCATTCACTCAAAAGTCTATAAGTAACCAAATCATAACACACAAATGCAATATCTCTATACCATACTCTATTCCTGGAAATCGACTAAGCTATGGGATCTGGCAAGGTCTATGGACCACAGTTTGTTTATCACTCATTACTCAATTTGTACTCAGTAGTGAATTGCGAGAATACAACCAGATAAGGCATTCAAAAACCCCCTAGGGTGCTATGAAGTCAAGAGTCAATTCACATGGCTCAATCTCATCAACCCCAGAGCCATCTTCAGGCCTGGGCAGGACAAGAAAGCCACATGGCCGGTTCCATCCGAACGAGCCACAACACCGATGACGTCAGCAACGGGCCGGCCGAGACCAGCAACACCACCATCAATTCTGTCACCTTGAAACGATGTATATAAGCCAATATCAGAGCTATGATACTAGTATCATAGGTACAGAGCTATCATGTAAATTAGCTCAGTATGTTGAGGGAATGACTCGGTAACAGTGGTCCTCGGCGACATATTGGAGTAAATCCCATCCCTCTGAGTGAGAAATATATAGACAAGTGATCAACGTACTATATGGTCGAACGTTCCACAACACAGGCATTTACCTGAAACAGGATGAAAGCCCCAACAGCTGTTACTGAGGATAAGCACCAGTAACAAAATAAACATTCAAAAGTAGCAGATTGACACACTGCATTCGTTCTTCGCCAAGCACTGTGGATGATAGCTGCGTTAGTAAAAACCCGCCGTCACACCGCATGAGCTCCAAGACGGATCATATTTTCTCCTCTCCTAGTCATTGATACACAGAAAATAAGGGAAATAGTGTCGAAACTCACGACTTGCATCGTCAAAACGCTCAATCTTCGTGGCACCTCCGTTCATGCGCTACATTTGTTGGGTTCGATAGAACCCACCCGGCAAATTTGCCGAACCACGTGGAATCTATGCATCAACGGCAGGGGAGTGTACAGCCTCGGGGTTGTTTCTAGCCTGCAGATCCTGGACTGCGATACAAGTGAAATGTCTTGGCAGATGATGCTTACATGATACAACTCTACGCTTCAACGCTGTGCACATCGGTCTCATAACAAGGCACTTTTAAAATTGGGATATCGCTATTGCAGGCCTTTGATCATCACAGTTTCAGGTATTAAATCATCATAAACACACAACCGTCGCAGGTGTGATTTTTGGCATGGATCCTTCCCATCCTTTTCGACTTAGTGGTGGAACAGACGGGTACCCTGCTCAACAAAGACAATACCAAGCTTCTCGGAGGTTTCGAAGACGGGACGGTCATTCTGGCTACCGCTGGGGGCAGCAATGTACTTGACGCCCGAGCGGGCGGCACGGAAGACGTTGTCAATGAAAGGGAACTGCGTCCATTGTCAGCTGGATAGTAAAATGACACGGAAGAATGGGATCAACTTACGAAAGCATCAGAGGAGACAGCAACCTCGCTCAACTTCTGCAGCCAAGACTCACGCTCCTCGGCGGTGAAAGGTGCGGGGACCTCCTCGAACACACGCTCATACTCCACACGCTCGGCCTCGTTGCGAGGAGTCTGACCCGAGCAGAGCAAGTCAATAGCATTGCTCTTATCGGCACGCTTGGTGCCCTGCTTCCACTTGATGTTCAGCACACGGTCGTGGAAGCGCATCCACCAGTTGTCAGCCTTGTCACCGGCCAGACGAGTGCAGTGGATACGGCTCTGCTGGCCAGCACCAAGACCGATGACCTGGCCGTTCAGAGCATAGCACACGGAGTTGGACTGAGTGTACTTCAGCGCGATGGTGGCGACGGTAAGATCGCGCAGGGCGGAGTCGGGAAGAGCCTTCAAGTCCTTAGGAGTGATGATGGTGTTGAAGGTCTTCTGGGGAGAGATGACGACATCGTTGCGGTGCTGGGCGAGCTGCACACCGTACAGCGTGCGAGTCTCCTCGGCAGCAGGAACATAGTTCTCGTCCATCTGGAGAACAAGGTACTTGCCACCCTTCTTCTTGGAGAGGATCTCCAGAGCCTCGGGGGTGTAGCCGGCGGCGATAACACCGTCAGAGACCTCACGGGAGACAATCTTGGCAGTGGGAACATCAACAATGTCACTCAGAGCAAGAATGTCACCAAAGCTGGACATGCGGTCGGCACCACGGGCACGAGCATAAGCCTGAGCCAAGCCAGAGGTCTCAATACCGGGAATGTCATCAACCATGTAGACCTTACGCTCCTTCTCGTTCAGGGGCACACCGACAGCAGCACCGGCGGGGGAAACGTGCTTGAAGCTGGCAGCGGCAGGGTAGCCCAAGGCCTGCTTGAGCTCCTTGACCAGCGCCCAGGCGTTGAGGGCGTCCAGGAGGTTGACGTAGCCGGGAGATCCGTTCAGGGCCTTGAAGGGAAGCTTGCCCTCTACCATGTAGGCAGACGCAGGCTTCTGGTGGGGGTTGGTACCGTAGCGGAGAGCCAGGTACTTGTCGCCGTTGCCAGCATACTCCTTGCGGAAGAAGCCGGAGATGGCAGTGTCGTAGTCGGCGGTGTGCTCGAAGGCCTTGAGGGCATAGGACTTGCGGCTGGCATCGGTGATATCACCGGCCTCCAACTCCTTGAGGAACTCAGGGTAATCCTGGGGGTCGGAGAGGATGGTCACACGGGCGTGGTTCTTGGCCGCAGCACGGAGGAGAGTCACACCACCGATGTCGATCTCCTCGACGGCTTCGGGGATGGTGACATTGACCTTCTTCACCGTCTCCTTGAAGGGGTACAGGTTGCAGACAACGAAGTCGACCTTGGAGATGTTCTGGTCGGCCAAATCCTTCTCGTCAGACTCGATATCACGAGCCAGGATACCACCGTGGACAGCAGGGTGGAGAGTCTTGACACGACCACCCAGCATCTCCGGCGCATGAGTGATGGCGGAGACATCTCTAATCGGCCATCAGCTCTACATCTTGCTGAAAAGAACCAAGAGAATATGGCCCCGGTCATGACCACATCAGTATGATGACTCACTCGACAGGGAAGCCCGCCTCCCGAATCAACCGCGCCGTACCACCGGAGGCAAGCAACCGGACATTCTGCTTGACGAGGCCCTTGGCCAGGTCGAGCAGACCAGTCTTATCGTAGACGGAGAGGATGGCTATCAATGGCACACAATGGTCTTAAGTCAGCCCAAGAATTCCATTCAATTGACAAGCAAAGCAACAGGCAATGCCGCGATGTGGAGACAGCGACCGGTTCATTTTCCATTCCAAGCGGACCGTGAAGCTGCTGCACCCGGGTATACCGAGTGGGAGAGGGCAGAGCAGTGGGCAGAACGTTCAAAACTCACCAGACTTTTGTTGAGACATCCTGAGAGACACTGACAGTGATACAGACACTGGGAGTAGACAAGTCAGAGATGAAGAGGAGCGATGCTGGAGGGGAGAAAAATGTTCAGGTTAGGAGGAGTGCCCCCCCACAACCCCTCCACCCCTCCAGGTCGAATGGATCAATTGGAACTTGGGAAGTTCCGATGGGCTACTAGTAGTAGTCTAGTGCCGGGAAAGAGTAGGAGCACATACCTCAAACTCCGCGGGAAAGACAAGATGTTGAGAGCTGGAGGAAGGATTGAAGAGTAGAAGTCAATTGAAGAACTCCAGGGGATCAGGAACGGAGTGGTAAAGAGTTTGCCAGGTGTGGCTCAGGTGCAAATTGTTCCAGATAGCTCGAAGAGAAAAAATGGGGGAAGCTGAGGGAGGGGTAAAAGTGCAAGTGCCCATCTTCTGGGATTGCCGCTGCGGTTCTTGCTTCATCACTGATCAGTCACTGTTCCCGCCGCGGGGGTACTTCGCCGCTTTCGGACCTGGAGTGGATGACTGTCAGTGGCGATTACTCACTCAGTGCTGTAAGTGGAAATCAGCTGATAGATCTTCATAACCGCTGTGCCACTGTGGGTAACTGTGGTGCCCCCCCGGGCCGGACATTGGCCTTGCCTTTTCAGCGTAGTTCAATTATGCCGGGTGCATAAGAGCAGCTTACTCATTACACTCTGCATCGGCAGAGAAGCTCGCCTATCAATCACATGATCCGTGCACAGACCACCCACACACCCTACAAAACCCGCGCTTCGTCGCGGCGTCCTCCTTTTTCTTTTTCTTTTTTTCTTCACATGAACAACGCATTAAAACAACATTCTTAAAAAAAGCGTTCCTACGAGGATATACTTGTATAACCTATGAAGTACGGAAATCGTCAAACAGAATGGAGACAAACTGCTCTCTAGCAGAGTGTCGATCTTGGGTGCAGTGCCTGCTTGAACTCCATAGTAGGGATTGCAATGATTGATTCTACAATCCTTTTCGCGCCTTTTGATGCTGAGCCGCGTCGTAATACCAAAACGAAATAGTAAAAGAACAACCAAACGTAGATATTTCTCGCTTCTGCTGGTGTGGTCTGGCAGATCTCATGCTCATGGTGTCCTTTCTATCTAGTAGCAGACCACCATGTCCGGATGGGGCATAATGAGAATGCATGTTGAGAAGGGCAAAAGCCCAAAGCATGGAAATGAGACAAGAGGGTGTGTATACAAAGGTATTACTTCACATATCGTAAAAAAAAAAAAAGAAGAAGCAGCAGCAATGTCTCCTCATCAAATCGCTCACTTCTTGAGCGACTCTCTCCCGGAATTGCCAATGGCCAACTGCCGGCCAATGTTTCCGAAGCAAACACAGGCGCAGAACAAAACACTGGCAATCCATGTCCGCACAGCAACGCTTTCCTGTGTCATCCCAATGTCCAAACCGAAGTCCCGCCCCGTAACGTTGGCCAACAGAAGGGTGGGGCTAGAGGGCTCCAGAGAGGATGGCACCAGATCGGGATTGACGCCCAACACAACGCCCATTCCAACCAAACCAACCACAGTCGACAAGACGAACCCTGTCCGAGTGCGGTCGATGAGATACCACAAGACAGGGTTCACAAGTGCGAGGGTTACCGAAGCTTGGGTCGTAGATTCCCAGGGTAGTCGACGCTGAAGATCACAAGGGAAGTTAAATATCCGATGCCTGATGTAAGCCTGGGATTGCACGACTTACCATAGCAAATGCGATTCCAACAAAGGCCCCGACGCTGCGGACCGCCGCAACCCACGACAGTGTGCGTTCGGCAGTTTCCTCGTCACTCGCCGAAGAAGCAGCTTGCTTGCCGTCGTTGAGCAAGTCATCCGAAAACTGGTCAAACCACGGGAGTACGTTACCCAGAATGACTCCCGCAACGCCCCAAAATGCCAGATATTGCCATGATCCGTAGTAATGGACGTTCTCCAGCTTCACCGGCGTGATCCAATGGTTCTCGTGCAGGTGGATCGTAATGATTCCGTACACCACACCAAAGCCAAGCAGAAAGGCGCTCTTCAGCGCCTGGGGTAGGATGACCCCGCGGAAGAGTCCCTGACTGAGGCGTGACCGCGTCCGCTGCAGCTTCCCCGGTGCTGGCCCTTGGATGACTGGCCGAATGCCGGCGTTCAGAGCTTCGGGGGTATGAGCTTCCGTGCCCCAAGGCGAAGAATCGTCGCGAGTGCCTTCAAATGCGGTCGGAGAATAGATCCCGACAAGAGTTGGCGATGTCAGGTTCATGATCGATACGTTGCGGCTAACATTCGTTGAACCGCCTTCGCGAGGATTCAACAGGTCCGGGTTGGCTGGCTCGGCAGGGGAGGAGGGCTCTTCGGGGGTGAGGTCGAACACGCGCCGCGGACGCGGGCGGAGGATCGTGGGTTCATCAGACATGGCAGGCGAGGATGTTGTGGTATCTCGAATTGAATGAGAACTGAAAGATGCAATGAATGGTGATCTGCACAATAGGGCAAACCAAGGAACAGCAGGGGGGCCCTTTTCTCGTTCAATGTCGTGAAAGGTTGTGGACGGGCAGCTCTATTCAAGGACGTCAAGCTGGCGCTCCAGTGGCTTTTAAAAGTCCGAATAAGTGGCAGTCTGGACAGGCCGAATTGCGCTCTGGGGTTTATATGACGATCGTGTCAGCCAACCTTTGGGGTGGGGGTGTGGAAGACGAGCGGCCGAGGATCGGGGAGGAGAAAAGAGAGGGCCAGAGCGTGCTGAATGCTGCAAACACACAGACAGTGGCCAGATATGGAGGGAATGGAAGGAATGCGAGAGGAGAGCAGAGAGGAGAAACTGAACCACAAACCGATTGGGTCACTGAAGACTAACTTCAGCAGCTAGTTTCAACGCCTCGGTGGGAGCAGCAGCGGTACGAGGCTACGAGCAGGGTGACCGTGGGTGAGTGTGGACGACTGGTGGGTGCAGGATCTGCAGTGGATCGACAGAACGAAGGGCAAGCTTGTAAAAGTGAAAACAGAGCCTGAGTGTAAGGATATTCTTTTAAAAATACTTCAAAGAACAGCAGCAATTGACAGAATGGGGGGATATTCTAAGACAGGGAAGAATAGACTGAGACTCACGACTCACGGCGAGCGAAGGAAATAAAATAGGTTTGGTAGGAGGTAGAAAGAGGTACGGTGCTGTACCTACCACTGTGAATCAATCGCGAAGCAAACAAGCAAAAGCTCACCTCACCCAAACTAGAAGAACTCAGGAATGTTGGGGCCCTGGGGGGGAAGTGGAAGGAAAGACTCAAGGAGGAAAACCCACCAAACCCACCGAATCCACCGCCCCGACAGAGGGCGAGCCACCCGCAATCACATGCAAATTGTCATGACTGTCTGCCTTGACTGTCTTACTCATGCCTCCTTGCGTCCCGCCTACAACCCCGTAACATGTGTCAACGTGCGCTCGTTCCGATGTCGTCGGGGTGCAGGTGTTGCTGAACTAGCTCCATGCAAAAACCCCCAAGTCCGAGGCCATTCCGACTTTCTACGATACAGATTCCACCAGGGGGGAGAGGGAAGAGAAGGTTGACCAGGTAGGTGGGGGCAACTCCGACAAGACCCTGTACAGCAGAGAGCGAGCGCATGCTTTCAAGACTGCTCTCTGATCTACATCATTTGCGAAGCTTCAACCAATCCCGACTAGGGTATGTAGAATTTGTGACAGGGACAACTAAAAGGGAAATACATGTGGAATCGAAGTGAAAACATAGATAACCAGTTGGGGGATAATCGTACAATGTAAAACAAGACGCAAGAGATAGAAAGCGAAAGGAAGGGCTCAAGCTTGATGGAGCAGGTAAGGAGAAAGGGTCGAATATGCACCAGATAAGCTTCAATCACGACAAATGCACACCCGAAGTGATTTGATGGAGGCCAGGCGCTTGGAAAGCTCAAAGCCTCATCAATATCCGGAGAGAAACGATCAGATGTCGGTCATAGTCTCGTCTTTATCATCAGCTAGAACTGTGTCGCCCTCCGCGCCGGCTACCGAAGAGGTCTCGCTGGCAGCATACCCATTGCCGCCTTCGAGCGTGGAAGAATTCTCGTCAGCGTCCCCCTCCGCTTCTCCATCGAGATCCTCGTCATCAACTTCCTCGTCATCATTGTCATCGGATGAGAGACCTTCCGCGTCCTCATCCGCATCGCCTCCCTCCATAAAGCTATCCTCGTAGCCTGGTTCTGCCGGTCGAGACGTGCGAGCCGCTGGTGTCGGAGCGCCGTCATCATCTCCGCTCCCTTCGCCGAGAAGTTCACGGTCAATGTCGTCTAGTCCTTCCTCACCTTCATCATCATCGCCCAGGTGGGTCGAGCCAGGCACTGGAGAGAGTTCATGGTCACGACCAGGTACCTCCAGACCATCCTTGGCTGCGTCCGGGGTAGCCGCTGCTGCGCCTTCGGCATCGCGCTGGGACCGATTGCGGTTAGCCTTGGACCGTGATGAGCTGGCAGCGCCTGGCTCCTTGGCGGATGGGGTACTGGCAGCCGCATTGGCGAGCTTGCGCTTGGCATTGCGAGCAGCACGAGCGCGACTACGAGCGGATGATGGAATGCGCCCAGCAAGATCACCCGAGTTGTCCATAGCAAGCCTCATCTCCCTCGCTTTCTGGCGCTCCTCGCGTTCCGCCTGACGATCGCGCCTAGGGCCATTGGCATCATCGTAATCCCATCGATCCAAGCGTCTGGCGGCCTTGCGGATCACAGACAAGAAGTAACTAGCACTTTCACCGAAGTCTTCTTCCTCGTCGGGCTTCGGCACCAAACCACCCTTGCCCCAGGCCTTCTCTTCTTCATCTGTGTCGTAGCCTTCCGGGAGATTCGAAAGACGACGACCATAGCGGACAATAGGTATCTCGCTTTCCCGTTTCGCACGCAACACGCGGTACGCCTCGCTCTTGCGCTTAGCTAGAATGTATTCAATCCGCTGTCGACGGTTCTGCTCGACAGCCAGCTGGTGTTGAGTAAGAGGTCGTGGCCGACGGGCGGAGGTGGGCTGGGTGGTTTCGGTAACAAATCGATTCAAGATCGGGTGGCCCGAGCCTGGAGGAGCTGGAGAAGCAGCGTCAGGTGTGTTTTCCATCTTGGTTCTTAAGATGAGACGCTGCTGACCAAGAGAACGGTTGAGAGAAGACTCTCTTTTGGGCCTCTTGGACCGGGAGCGCGCAGACTGCCCAGGTGTTTGATAGTCGTCCTCATCGTCTAGTGGATGGCGCTTGGTGGATGGATGCAGAGGGGTGGACATGGTGGACAAGCGACCGTCACCGCGACCTACATAGCGTGGATGATTAGTGGGACGAGATAAGGAAATCGATGGATTGAGGTGCTTACCAGACAGATCTCCTGATGCTTCGTCGTCGAGGAATTCAGGCAGGCCTGGCATGTTAGTGGATTGGCGTTCAGAAAGAAGGAAGACGGAAGCGTGCTGGATACCTTTCTTAGAGCGCTTAGGCACTCTGGGTAGTGGCTCATCGTCTTCCAGTATACCTGTAGACCGGTGTTAATATTCTCGTGTTACTCAAGGCAAGATATGCACACTCACGTTTACGTTCCAAGCGCTTAGCTTCACCGTAGTCGAGTTCGGATTGGGTATCCACATTCTCCTCATTTGCCTGTTCCTCGGTAAGACTCTCAAACTGAGGAACCTTGATAGGCAAACCTCCGGTGCCTTCACCGTCCAGACCGGGGCCGAAGGGATTGTCAAGTGCCGCCTGTGCGGAGAAGTCACTTTCCAGATACCACCACATCAACCACAGGAAAGCTTTGGCTCTGCTCCGACTGCTGAGCGTACCTCTCATGACCAAGTCAAAGAAGTCACGGGGAGGAAAGAAGTGCATCTCCGACACCTTGGGGGCATATTGGGCCAGGACAAAGATTAGATTGACGGGGTTTGTGCGGGGTTTTGGCTGACGTTTGATTCTGTCCAGCGTGTTGGGCTGGTCAACGTCTTCGGATGCGCCTTTGAGAATCGACTTGAGACGAGGAGCGTCCTGCAGCTGTTTGTAGGCATTAGGGTCCTGTGTCGCTTGCAGTGAAGGAATGGAGTGATAGGTCCGCAGCTGAGCACGCATCTCGGGGAAAACTAGGAAACATGTCAGCGTCATTATCCATGTGAACATGTAGCGCACGAGAATAGCAAGCATAAATTTACAATTGAGCGTGGTGTTCATGCGTCCAAAATTGACCAGCAGGCAAACCATAGCCATGCTGATGGCCGCCTTCTTGTCACTCTGCAATTTATCCTTCAAGATCTTACTCGTCTTGCTGCTTCTCGCCATAGCATCGATGTAGATGTCGGCAAAGTCCAGACCTTTCTCCCCGTCAGGCCAGCGAGTGAAGACCGGGGTTGTATCCTCGAAGACAAGCTTGAGAAATTGATACTGGATGTCTTTGCGCCATAGAGGAATTCCATCCTCCTTCTTCAGGTGCCGGATTTTGTTGCCCGAATAGACTGAGCCGATCGTACCATTGGCCTGTCGCCGAATGCCGACCGTCATGTTATGGGTCTGCTGTTCGTCGGGGGCCTCGGACTGCGCCAACGACTCGTCCGCGACGCTGCTCTCGACCTCCGCCATCTTCGTATTGGGAAGTGACGGGACCTGTAAAGCTATGTTCGTGCAATGGGTGACGCGTTTTTGTGATTGATCGATGTGGTTTTGGTTTCCTGTGTTACCCCCGTGGACGGCAGATGGCGCAAAAGCAAGGAGTCGAGAGCGATGGGTTGGATGGGGGGGGGGGGGACCGATCGATAAGTGACGGACGCGGATGATCAAGGAAGGACTCGATGAAGGGTTTATAACTTTCAAAGCAGACGAAAGGATTGTGTCAGTGAAAGGGAGGTAGATGGAAAGGCGTAAATCAAGAAGGAAGGGTGATAGGCGACAGTAACAGGAGGAATTGTAAGGAAGTGAGTGAGTGAGATGAGAAAAAGAAAAGGAAGCTGGGGTGAGGATGCCGTGGGAACGTGATCCGCGATGGTGATCTTATTCTTAATTGATTGGGGGCTCAATTCACTCCTCCGGCCGGTACAGGACGCGGGTCTGACTAATGATTCACTCTAATTCACTGAAATTATGCTAATTATCACAGGTCACCAGCAGCAGGTAACAATACTACAGACCAGTATCGGAACAATCAGTCTATTCAGTGTCCCATCGATTGTTCGAGGTGCAGTGGTGAGAAAGGTCTGCCTCATCCCGGCTCCCTACTGTGGATACCCATTTGTCCGATGTTATTAACTCCTAGATCAAATATCAGGAGAAAAACTCTCCGGCTGGAAACCATACCTCTACCAAGAGTGTTGTTGTGTTGCCAGCTGAATCACAGCAACTCTGAAAGGAGCCATAACACCTAACTGTTCCTCTTTTACGCAAGATGGACACACTA